AAAGGGACCAGAATTTCATGATAAAGGGTGGGGAAGTGTTTGATTTGGGCTTAGTCTTGAAAAATAAAATGAAAACTTATGAAATCAAGTTACATTGAACATAATCTAGGCTGTAATTGCAACTCGGCATACTAATTCTTAGAATGAACTGTGAATTGATTGCTTTGCATTTTGGCTTTTTTTTTTCTGAAAAATGGTACGATGACAGGTTATGACATTCTTCACTTCCACAACAAGATCATAAAAGGGCTATTTTTTAAAAAAGTTGCGTTTCAGCAGTGTTCTGAGGGCCTCTCTTAATCCTGTGATATTCAAATCATTTTCATTCAAAATGACTTTTGTGTTGTTCTCTGTTTGCATTGTCCCACTTTAGTTGTCACCTGCTCTGCTTTTACTCACGGCTTCATTTGCCGAGGGTGTGGGCCCGAGACAGGGGACAGAGCTCTGGTGAAGACTAACTTCCTATTCATCTGGAATAACTTCTGAATCTAGAAATAATTTAGAAAATGTGCAAAAATAATTTGATAGTATTTTCTTCTTTTTACTCTTCTTTGTTTATGGCTACAAGATATTCATGGTTAGCTAAATAACAGTCACCATTTAAAATCTGTGCAAATGACAAATCATTTCTTTTACAGCTGTTTTTCTAGGGAGATCTGGCTGGTATACAGAGAGGAGATGGCCACTGAAGGCGCTGGGAATCATGGGACCAACCAGCTCTGGCAGCTCTGCTATGGGGGCTCCTGCAGCCTCCATTTTCCCATCTGTAGACGGCAGAGGTTAGACCAGAGGACAGCCAATGAGAAGAGCTTCGTGTTTGTGCTTTACATGGTGGTAGACTATTTATTTACTGTGTAGTCATGGGTATATCACCAACTACTAAAATTCAGTTCTCACATATGGAAAACAAGAGCATTTATTATTCACTTATTACTGTATTTATGAAAGAATTTGAGGTTATTAACAAGAATAGTATCAGCTACTTTTCAGCAAGCAGAGACTACTTAGGGCAGTGGTGCTCACATTTTGGAGCAGCAAGACACCTAATAAAAGGTAGATACAGTGAAACCTGTGAGAGATGGAACTCAACCGGACTGCCTTGTTTTTCGGGGTCTCACCAAGTTTTCCGCCTGAGACAGGGTTCAGTCTTACCGCTTTTCTATTGCTCTCTATTAGTGGAAAATATTTGAGTTTTTCTTCTCTGACAGGTTTCCATCATACCCAGGTTCCAGCTTACGCAGGTTTTGCTGTATAAATAATGGACCAGTTCACTCTGCTATTTTGAAAACCAAAAAACAAACCAAACCCATTGCCATTGAGTCGATTCCGATTCATAGCGACCCTATAGGACAGAGTAGAACTACCCCAGAGGGTTTCCAAGGAGCGGCTGGTGGATTTGAACTGCCAGCTTTTGGCTGGCAAGCAAGCTCTTAACCACTGCTCCAGTACATAGAAAAGGATTTAAGGATTGTGACATCCTTAAAACATCTCTGTAAAATCCTAGAGTACAGGAAGCACAGTTTGTAAACCAATGTTTATGAAGGATGCTCTGAGCATTTCTGGAAAAGACCATAGAGATGTAATGATAATCGTGGCTAGAGACATAGAAACTGAATCAATTATTTTGATGAAGAATATTTGTGGCATCATATAAGTAGTAGCAAGGAAATGAGAAGCTAAGGAAAAACTATTTGTAGATCCACAGGAATGCAGGCTTTAAAAGTGTGATGCTTCAATGGAATTGTAGTAGGGTAGGTACCTAGTTAAGGAGCCCTAGTGGCACAGTGGTTAAGCACTCGGCTGCTAACTGAGAGGTTGGCAGTTCAAACCCACTAGTGGCTTCAAGGGAGAAAAGACCTATGATCTGCTCCCATAAAGATTACAGCCTAGGAAACTCTATGGGGCAGTTCTACTCTGTCCTACAGACTCGCTATGAGTCGGAATCGACTCAACAGGCACACAGGCACACAACAACAGAAACCCAGTTTAAGGAGCAGCATTCGTAATTGATCTCATTGTTTCTACCCTTATCTTCCCCCATTTCAGGGCTTGAGTAATCTTGTAAAAATGTAAATCTGTTTCATTACTTCCTTGCTCAAACCATCCAATGGCTTTCCACTGACCCTCTGGGTCAAGTCCAAATGCTTACATGGGTGATCTGGCCCCTGCGCACATCTGATCTCATCTCATGACACATTGATTTCCTTTCAGTCCAGTTCCTAGAATACACCAATCTCTTTCTTTCCTCAGGGCCTTTGCATATGCTGTTCCCTCAGCCTAGAATCCTCTTTCCTCTACACTTCTCCTGGCCAACTCTTACTCATCTTTTAGGTCTCAACTTACATATAATTCCCTCTGACACTTGTACCTACCCCTGCAATCATATTATCCTTGCTATTGAGACCCTGTTTTATTTTTCTTTATAGCATTTATTATAATCTTAAGTCATGTACTTATTTATATTTCTGTTTATTTAACATCTGCTTCATACCCCACTAAATGACTAAGCTTAAGAAAACAGTTTACGAAACAGTGTAGTGCATGATTCCAATTTCGTGGGAACATATGTTGAGACATTAAGCGTCTTCCTCTCCCTGCCCTTTTCTTTGTCCCTTATCGCCATTCAGACAGGTAGTCACCTGTCTCCATCTTCATTGCCTCAGGGGAGGAAATTAGAAACCTGGGCTTTTCCAAAAATACCTGATACATTGGTTCCAATATTAGAATGAGAAAAAAAAACGAGAAACCAGATGAGTAATTTGAGTTACGAAGGCTTATACTCTTAGCACAAGTGCCATTTTTCTAAAGATAAAAGCGTCATTCCAGGTGGATGTACACTTGACACTACTCCCATGACCTTGATGTTCTTGGGAAGCTCTGGACACACTTGACAAAGCACATGGCCCGACTCCTAGTTAGAGCATATCTTCCTACACCCCCTCCTGTATCATCTCTTCTGCAGTCAGTATTCTAGCCTGGATTACTCTGGCATGCAGTAAGTCTGGGGCTGGGGGTGGCAGGGAGGCAGATATCTCTATGCTGATTTGGGAACTCACCCACCAAAGTAAGTCTATAGGCCTTACTGCATCATCTCAACTAGGATGGCAAGACTGCCTGCACTAACACAAGTCAAGAAGTTCTAGGTATTTCCTTACGCTATAACGGAAGTCAGAAACATGGTGATGGAGACAAACACTGTGCCCAATGCATTCTAGATATGGTTCCACCAAGGATGAGGCACCCACTGGAGCTGCCCTCCTCCTGAGATGGTGGAGGTTGGAGAACATGACTCACAAGGAAGGGTGCCAAGGTGCATGGCTTCTCTGGGATGTAGAAGGCCTGATTTCTAGGGTGGCCTAATCCATTTAATCCTCAACCTCCCCACCATCATGCCATAAAGGCAGCAATTCTACAGCATAGCCAACAAGCTTCCTGGAATAAAAATCAGAAGGGTCGAGAGAATTCCAGAAGCTCAAATTATTTCTTGAATAAATATAAAATATACTTATCTTCACACCAGTATGGCACAGGAAACTTAATAATCTTTCTCATTACTTAGAGTCCTTGATGTACCAAAACTTGCCTTTAGCAAATAATGGTTCCAAGGGACAAGAAAGAGATTCTCGCGAAGGGGGTGGGGGGGTAACTGGGACTAGCCTTCAAAGTTTTGGCAAACGGTTCTCTCACAGAGGAGTGGTCTAGATAATAATGGTAATCGAGAGAGGAAGGAAAAGACTGAGGGCTAGATTCTGAAAGGCTTGTGTGAAAAAACAACGATGCTGAGTTATATTCCTCTGTAACCAGCACACCCAAAGAACCAAAATCATCGGGTACCAAGAAACAAGAGGGAAAACCTACTCTCTCTTCTGATGAAATACCCCAGAACCTTGTAAGGACTTTTAAGCAAGGAAGCAGATTAACTTTCAAGGTCAACTTTTCAGACCAAGGAGACAAAAAAGACACCTTGACCTGTTCTCGAAGCTTGAACCATTATCCCCCACAATGTAAGAGCCAAAGGAAAGTCAATGCGAAGTCTTGTCGGTGTGAGCACTAGGTAACAGACAGATAGGAGATCACTCAGACATACAACAAACATGGATTGAGCACTTTTCTAGATTCAATTGTGTCCCCCCAAAATGTGTGACAATTTGGCTAGGCCATGATTCCCAGTATTATGTGATTGTCCACCATTTTGTCATCTGATGTGATTTTCCTATGTGCTATAAATCCTACCTCTATGATGCCAATGAGGCATGATTAGAGGCAGTTATGTTAACGAGGCAGGACTCAATCTACCTACAAGATTAGGTTGTATCTTGAGTCAATCTCTTTTGAGATATAAAAGAGAGAAGTGAGCAGAGAGACAGGGGACCTCATACCACCAAGAAACGAGAGCTGGGAGGGAGCATGTCCTTTGTTTCCAGGGTCCCTGTGCTGAGAAGCTCCTAGACCATGGGAGAATTGATGACAAGGACCTTCCCCCAGAGGTGACAGAGACAGAAAGCATTCCCCTGGAGCTGGCACCATGAATTCAGACTTCTAGCTTCCTAGACTGTGAGACAATAAATTTCTGTTTGTTAAAGCCATCCACATGTAGTATTTCTGTTAAATAGCACTAGAAAACTAAGACAAGCACCTACTGTGTACCAGTTTAGCACCGTGCTATTAGGGAAAGAAGTGACCTTGAGGAGACAGGGAGAAAGAGAATAAACCTGCTGACTTGATGGTTTTGCCAGCAGCAGGGCAGTATATGTTCATCTGTGTTTGTTGCAAACAACTGGCAAGCTAAAGAGGATTCCTGCTCAGTGTGGCAAGACTGGAGAAAAGATCTAAGCAAGAACCTGGCTGGAGCATAACTTGAGCAGAGAACAGACAGCTCCAAAGCAGGGTTAGCCACTCTACCTTCGGTGAATCCACGAGAGTCTCTATGCACATGTGTGTGCAGGAGAGGATGGGAGCACCAGATACAATGTGTCCCAGCAGCACAAGACAACACATACCTGGGCGGGCAGGGCTCCATGTTACAAGCCTGGCTCATTGCTGGGGGACGGTGGACCGCATTGCACAACGTGTCATTGACTGTTTGTTGGGTCTGGATGTGTAGGCACACTGCTATGGCTTCTTGACGGCCTAGAGGTTGGAAATTGAAAACAATGCAAAATGAGGTAGAATAACTTACCGTGGGCAAAAATAGGGTCTTGGGTCTTCTCATTCTTAGGCCACTGCCCTTTCAACTATATCGCATGGCTACATTTCAGGGTCCATCCAGTAGCAAACAACTTTGCATAATCTGAAGTCTCCCAGTCTTTGATATTTCCTCATTCACCTTTTAAACTCAGCCACTCTGACCAAACCAGTTAACCAAACCCATTGCCGTTGAGTCGATTAGACTCATAGCTACCCTACAGGACAGAGTAGAACTGCCCCATAGGGTTTCCAAGGAGCGCCTGGTGGGTTGGAACTGCCGATCTTTTGGTTAGCAGCTGAGCTCTTAACCACTGTGCCACCAGGGCCCAATCCCCTCAAATCTACTCTCCTTGAAATATTAAAGAGTATCCCTAACTCCGCACTTATCCTCAGGCTTATCTGCATTCTAAATGTACTCCAAGCTAGGAGTTCGCCCAAATGAATCATCAAGGAATTCCTGCCAAACATGTACGATAGTTTCTCTAGAGGAATTTTCATATCAGCTGTTAAAGAATAACACTTTCTCTATATTACTGCATATATGCTAAAGTTGATGTACAATCATTATTAAAGTTTTCATTATGGTTTGCAGTTCTTGTTCACTATTATCATAGTTAATATTTCTATTGCTTGCAAAAATAATAGCAATATGTCCCATTGGGAAAGTGCTTTGGAGGGTACAAAATGTTTTCAAATATATTATTTTTGAGCCCACAGTAATCCTACGAAGTCAAAAGAATGGTATCATTATCTCCATTTAATTAATTTAGTAATAAAGAAACTGAGTTAGATTAAAAACTAGAAATTACATTTCTTGTTTCCTAATTCAGTGGTATTTCTTTCATACTCTAGGGATTCCAAAGCCCAACCCAACTAGCTTCCAAAAGCAATGATTGCTCTTAGGTCAAATATGAATGTTCACAGGTATATTTTTCCTTTGTGATCAGACAGGTCTGTCTGGCCCCAAAGCCCAAGCTCTTAACCACTGTTCTTTATTGACTGAGACAAAACGAATTATTGGGAACTCAGAATGGGACAAAATATAAATCAAGATTTTGATGAAAAAAATCAAACAAAAACTCTAACAGCAAATGACTATACTGTTTGGAAATATGCAAATATATTCAGTTTCATGCAAGAATGTACATTCCATTATGTTATAAGGTTGTGGTTCTTTTTCCAAATGCTATGTTTCAACTCAACCATTTTATAGTATTTTACAGAGTTTCGGCCAAAAATACATATAAAATATATGTTTGTGATGTCTTGTTCTTTCCAGTAAATTTTCTCCTGTGGCCATCAGCTGCAATTTCATGTTCCACATCACGGTAGAAACAGTAGAATGCAGTCTTAAATCTACATGCATGTTCCATGAGCTTTTTTAGAAACACTTGCTAATCTGAGACATAAGGACACATCCTTATGACTTAATAACTGGCTCCCATTTGTAAATGTCAAAACTTCCTTAGTGACTTTATAGGGACATAGATGTCCATTTCCTAGCAGGTTTTATTTCTTTTTATCTTAGAAAAGGTCCAGTTATCTTTCATATATATTTTAATTTATCATCAAAATTCTTTAGAAAATATACTCATAGGCTATTTTGGAACATTTCCATTCTGGATGGAATTTTATAACACTTGTGACTGTGACATATTTCTCTCCGTTAAAACTTGTTTACTGAAAATAATTTGAAGTTTAACAGATGATTTAGGATAATTATTGGGATAAAACAAAAAATCTATTTTATAGCATGAGACAGCATCCTTCACTTCACATTTAACTTTTGCAGTGTAATCATCAAGTGGATAATTGTTTTGGAAAAAAAAAAATCAAAGCCTCCATGTGAGTGAACTAATGATTACAGAGTAAAAACACAGACTTTAAGAGCCAACAGATGAGTCAATAAGTGAACTAATACGCTCTCTTTTTTTGGTTTAGGTTAGTTTGAGTTGGGTTTCTGTCATTTGCAAACAAGAGTCTTGACTAATTCAACATGCCTAGTAACACGCAGGAGTCCCTGGGTGTAGCCATGAGTCAGAATCAACTCAATGGCAATGTCATGGATTGAATTATGTCCTCCCAGAAATGTGTGTATCAGTTTGGCTGGGCCATGATTCCTGTTATTGTGTGATTTTCTTATATGTTGTAAATCCTGCCTCTATGATGTTAATGAGGGAGGATGGGTGGCAGTTGTGTTAGTAACGCAGGACTCAATCTACAAGATTGGATTGTGTCCTGAGGCAATCTCTTGAGATATAAAAGAGAGAAGTGAGCAGAGAGACAGAAGGACCTCATATCACTAAGAAAGCAGTGCCAGGAGCAGAGTGTGTCCTTTGGACCCCGGCTCCCTGCGCAGAGAAGCTCGTAGTCCGGGGGAACATTGATGAGAAGACCGACAGAGAGAAAGCCTTCCCCTGGAGCTGATATCCTGAATTTGGACTTTTAGCCTCCTTTACCGTGAAGAAATAAATTTCTCTTTGTTAAAGCCAACCAATTGTGGTACTTCTGTTGTAGCAGCACTAGATGACTAAGACAGGCAACAATTAACTGGGTAGTGCAAACAGTTAACACACTCAGCTGCTAATCAAAAGGTTAGAGGTTCGAATCCACCCAGAGCTGCAAACATCCATTAATAATCAGAATGTGGAATGTATGAAGTATGAATCTAGGGAAACTGGAAGTTGTCAAAAATGAAATGGAATACATAAACATCAGTATCCCAGGCATTAGTGAGCTAAAATGGACTGGTATCAGTTATTTTGGATCAGACAATCATATGGTCTACTATGCTGGGAATGACAAATTGAAAAGGAATGGTATTGCATTCATCACCAAAAAGAACACTGCAAGATCTATCCTGAAGTACAATGTTATAATATCCATATGCTTATAAGAAAGACCAGTTAAGATGACTATTATTCAAATTTATGCACCAACCACTAAGGCCAAAGATGAAGAAATTGAAGATTTTTACCAACTTCTACAGTCTGAAAATTAATCAAACACGCAATCAAGGTGCATCAATAATTACTGGTGATTGGGATGTGAAAGCTGGAAACAAAGAAGAAGGAACAGTAGTTGGAAAATATGGCCTTGGTGATCAAAATGAAGCCAGAGAGCACATGATAGAATTATGCAAGACCAACAACGTATTCATTGCAAATACTTTTTTTCAACAACATAAATGGCAACCATACACATGGACCTCACCAAATTGAATACACAAGAATCAAATTGACTATATCTGTGGAAAGAGACAATGGAAAAGCTCAATATCATCAGTCAGAACAAGGAAGGAGCCAACTACAGAATAGACCGTCAATTGCTCATATACAAGTTCAAGGTGAAGCTGAAGAAAATTAGAACAAGTCTATGAGTGCCAAAATATGATCTTGAGTATGTCCCACCTGAATTTAGTGACCATCTCAAGAACAGATTAGACACATTGAACACTAATTGCCGAAGACCAGACGAGTTGTGGAATGATATAAACGACATCATACACGAAGAAAGCAAGAGGTTATAAAAAGACAGGAAAGACAGAAAAGACCAAAATGGATGTTAGAAGGGACTCTGAAACTTGCTCTTGAACGTAGAGTAGCTAAAGCAAAAGGAAGACATGATGAAGAAAAAGAGCTGAACAGAAGACTTCAAAGGGTGGCTCAAGAAGACAAAGTACAGTACTATAATAAAATGTGCAAAGAACTGGAGTTAGAAAACTAAAAGGGAAGAACACACTTGGCATTTCTCAAGTTGAAAGAACTGAAGAAAGAATTCAAGCCTCAACTTGCAATATTGAAGGATTCTACAAGGAAAATATTAAATGATGCAGGAAGCACCAAAAGAAGATGGAAGGAAAACACAGCATCACTGTACCAAAAGGAATTGGTCATATTCAACCATTTCAGGAGGAAGCATATGATCAAGAACCTATGGTACTGAAGGAAGAAGTCCAAGCTGCACTCAAGGCATTAGCAACAAACAAGGCTCCAGGAATTGACAGAATACCAATTGAAATGTTTCAACAAAAGGATGCGGTACTGGAAATGCTCGTTTGTTTATGCCAAGAAATCTGGAAGACATCTACCTGGCCAACTGACTGGAAGAAATCCATATTCATGCTCATTCCAAAGAAAGGTGATCCAATAGAATGTGGAAATTATCAAACAATGTCATTAATATCATGAGCAAGTAAAACTTTGCGGAAGATAATTCAAAAGCGGTTGCAGCAGTACATCGACAGGGAACTGCCAGAAATTCAAGCCAGATTCAGAAGAAAACGTGGAACAAGGGATATCATTGCTGATGTCAGATGAATTTTGGCGAAAGCAGAGAATACCAGAAAGATATTTACCTGTGTTTTATTGATTATGCAAAGGCATTCAACTGCGTGGATCATAACAAATTATGGCTAACATCGCAAATGATCAGAATTCCAGAACACTTAATTCTGCTCATGGGAAACCTGTACATGGAACAGAAGGCAGTCGTTTTGAACAGAACAAGGGGATACTACATGATTTAAAGTCAGGAAAGGTGCACATCAGGGTTGTATCCTTTCACCATATTTATTTGATCTGTATGCTGAGCAAATAATCCGAGAAGCTGTTCTATATAAAGAAGAATGGGGCATCAGGATTGGAAGAAGACTCATTAACAACCTGTGATATGCAGATGTCACAACCTTGCTTGCTGAAAATGAAGAAGACTTGAAGCACTTACTGATGAAGATCAAAGACCACAGCCTTCAGTATGGATTACACTTCAACATAAAGAAAACAGAAATCCTCACAACTGGACCAATAAACAACAGCATGATTAACAGAGAAAAGAATGAAGTTGTCAAGGATTTCATTTTACTTGGATCCGCTATCAACACCCGTGGAAGCAGCAGTCAAGAAATCAAATGACATATTGCATTGGGCAAAATCTGCTACAAA